TGCCATCTGTTGACCCCCAGTCATTTGTTTTGATAAACCATATTGTGCTACATTCTTAAGAAATGTATGAGAGGTAAAGTAAATAAATAAATAATAAAATTCTTACATAACTAAAAAAATATAAATAAATAAATAAATAAATAAATAAATAAAATAAATACCACCTTAAGAAAAGAGAATATAATATTTACCTAGCAGTTAAGTTGCTTAATAGTTGACTGTGGTTCAAGTCCTGCATCCTGTAGCTTGAAAATCACAGTACGCACGTATGATGAGTACCCAAAATCCTAAGGGGAAAATGTAAGAGAAGGGATTGTGACATGGCCATCCCCCTTGGGGGGTGGGGGTGATTTCTCACTTTCCCTCTCTCTGTCTCTGGTTCTCACCCATGAATGCACACCCCCTATGACAAAAGCCTATATATAAAAAAATGAATATAATATCTGGTCAACTTATTTGCTAAATTAATGCCCACGACCACTAACTTAACTCCTAATATTCTGGACTTACGTTTCAGTAAAAGGGAAACAGAACCACCATAACTTTGGGGGGTAAGGATACTTTTATTTTGTCTACATCTTTCCATGCAAATTAGAAGATGAGTTTTTTTTTTTTTTTTTCTGCTATAGGGAGTGTGTGTTCTCTAGAAAGACAGAGGCAGAGAGAGAAAGTGAGAAATCACCCCCCAAGGGGGATGGCCATGCCACAATCCCTTTTCTTCCAATCTCCTCTCGGGATCTTGGGCACACACGCACACAGCGTGTTTTAAGCCACCGGGTTAAGGACTCGAACCGTGGTTGACTACATGGGAGTCCAGAGACATAGCCATTACGCCAACTGCTGGTCCCAGAAAATTTTTTTTTTAACTTTATAAAAGAGACATACTGAAAGAGTCTTAAGACCTTGAAAAAGAGTTGGGGGCCAGAAGGCAATATGGAGGTTAAGGCACAAGAGCCTACATGGCTGGCAGCATGATTTGAGTCTCAGACCTGGCAGCTTGAACATCACTTGAAGCACATGTGTGTGTATGTGCCCAAAATTCTGAGAGGAGAATGGAGGAAAAGGGATTGAAAAGTGGCCATCCCCGCTGGACAATTTCTTATTTTCCCTCTCTGTCTCTTTCTGGTGAGCACACATGCCCTATAGAAAAAAAAAAGAGCGAGAGAGAGAGAGTTGGGGTTATTTTTCCACAAGCATGAGTGGGAGGCTTTCTTTGTGAACACAGTGCACCACACAGGAATCCTTTGTCTCAATGCACGATTTATTGATGTGAGGCTTTAGCCTTAAAGAATAAAAGAAGTTGTTAACCTATTTTTAGTTCCACTACTTAATGAAAAAGGCTATTTTATCTTATGACCAAGGATTAATATTGGTATTTGACTCACTCCATAAATCACAGGAATTGATTTACAAACTTCAAAACAAAACTCAAGGCAACTTTCTTTAAACAGTTTTATTCTATCATATCACAATGATGTAGCAAAGACAATGTTTATGTAACTGGTTGCTTATATGTTCTCTGTGAAAAACTCTGAAAAGATTCTGAGAGTCATTATACAATCGTAAATGCCCAGTAGAAATGAAATTTTAATCATCAGTAAAAGTTATTTTTGTAATGCTTTTCCACAAGGAAGATACTACATTTTAGTATGTAGCTTATTGTTGATGTATTTTAATGTATATTTATATTAAATGTAGTTTGTGTATTTATGAACCCAGTTGTGATATGCACAAGTATCTTTTCATTATCTACCATTTAGGAAGGAAATATCTTCAAAGAATATTGAAACTAAAGTTTCTTCAGAGAATACTGAAAATAGAGCATCTTCAAAGAGTACTGAAAATAAAGATATCTTCGCTAATCTACAATCTGACCCATGGTCATCTTCCTTAAAAATAAGCACAGGTAAATAATATTTGTGTTATTAAATTAAGTAACCATGGTTTCTAATTTAGCCCTCCTTTTCTGTGGTTTTTTGGGAGTTGACAATTCAAGTTCTGGGCACGTTGTTAGAATTTGTTTGTTTCTTAGAGTTTGTTTTGGTTTTCATTTTTTGCTATGGGACTTGTGTTCTTGCCAGAGACAGAGAGAGAGGGAAAGTGAGAAATCACCCTTCAGGGGTGATGGCCAAGCCACACGCCTACTCCTCCCTTCTTCTTTCAGGATTTTGGGCATGAATGCACACGTGCCCAATGTGTTTGTCAAGTCACTGGGTCAGCCGTGTGGGTTCCAGTGCCTTAACCACCATACCATTTGTTGGTCCCGGGGAATGAATAAAATTCATGTACTGGGTGATTCTGATATGCAACTGGAGATTGGCTCCATGGGTGTGTATTACATAAGATGATAACGATAGGGTGTCAAATCTAGAATAAGTTAAAATATCTATTAACAGTTTCTGTTCATTTACCAATGGTGAAAAGCCAGAATGGTTTAGAAGCTGTGGCAAAATAAGCAAAGATCTTGCTTTTATGAAGTTCACATAAATAAATAGCAATGAAAAATATACCCAAGGTAATTACAGATTGTGATGGTGCTGTAATGTAATGGCACCTGAGGAGAGGACTACTTTAGAGCTTGGGATCAGGAAAGTTCTCTCATGATGCTGTTTGTGAATTGTGTGAGTCTGTTCCTGTGACATCACAGGATGTTCTTAATGCCTCATTGTTACCTTCCCCTGATGACATGAGTGAGGTGAATGAGTGCACAGACTTGATGCACACTGAAAGATCAGGGCGGTGTGAGCTGATGGAAAATATAAATGAAGCAGAAAGAGGTAGGCGAATGCCCTGAAAGCCCAGGCATCACATTCTCAGAAGCACTTGCTGTCCTTTTCAGGGTAGCACTTTTATCTGTATGTATGTATATATGTATTGCTAGAGAGTTCGAGAACTTGACAGAGGGAGAAGAGAACACACCCCCTGCCCATAGGGAATGGTCACGCTAGAATTTCTTCTCTTCCATCTCTCCATCTTTTCAGGATTTTGGACACATGCACACACATACGTCCAGTGTGTTTTTTAAGCCCCCAGGTCCAGGCCTTGAATCACACAGTTGGTCATGCAGGATTCATCTGACTTAGCCTCTAAACCATAGAGCCAGCCCTATTTATGTTTAATTGCCAAAGGGTGCATGTTCTCACTGTAGAGAGACAGAGGGGAGAGGGAGAAAGAACTTCCTAATGGGGCGTGGTCCTGCCATAATCCCTTCTTCATCTCTTCTGTCAGCATTTTGGGCACATATACACACACGCTCAGTATTTTTCAAGCTGCTTGGTGGGATTCAAACCACAGTTGGCAACATGGGATCCAAGTCTTTTAACCACTGAGGCTGTAGGGCTAGCCGAGGATAACAACACTTTTGTTTAGAGTTGGGAGGTTGTTTTAAACTCTGGAGTCTTTTCTTTTGTTGTTGTTGTCTGTGTTTCCTTTTTTAGAATTTGCTATAGGGCACATGTACTGACTGGAGACAGAGAAAGTGAGAAAGGGGGGATGGCCAGGCTGCAATCCTTTTCCCTCTATTCTTCTCTCAGGACTTCAGGAACACATGTACACACACCTAGCATGTTTCTTTTCTTTCTTTTTTTTTTTTTTTTTTTTTTCTGGAGAGGTTTTTGCTATAGGGCGCGTGCGTGCGCCAGAAAGACAGAGACAGAGAGACAGAAAGCGAGAAATCCCCCCCCCCAGGGTGGATGGCCACGCTGTAGTCCCTTCTCCATTCTCCTCTTGGAATCCTGGGCACGCACGCACACACACAAGCCCAGCCTGAGTTTAAGCCACCCGGTCCAAGACTTGAACTGTGGTCGACTACATAGGAGTCCAGTCTGCCTACGCCTACTGCGTGCCCCTTTTTTTTTTTTTTTTTTAAATTATTTATTGGACCAGCTGGTGGTGTGGTGGTTAAGGTGCCAGACATCCCCATGTGGCCGAGTATGATTCAAGTCCTGGAACTGGTGGCTTGCTTTCTCACTTCCCTCTCTCTCTCTGTGTTTCTCTCTGGTCAAATTAAAATGAATGAATGATAAATAAAGTTAAACAAAGAATTCTTTTTTTAAAAAAAGAATAATTTTATTTATTCATTCACTTATTTTTTAATTTGACCAGAGAGAGACAGAGGGAAAGTAAGAAAGCAGGCCTCCAGTCTTGGACCTGAACCGTGGCTGGCCATGTGAGAGTGTCCAGCGCTTTATCTACCATACCACCTGCTGGTCCCCAATAAATAATTCTTTAAGAAAAAAAGTTATTTATTTATTTAATTCCATTTATTATTATTATTTTTTAACTTGGCCAGAGAAAGGGAAAGTGAAAAAGCAAGCCTCCAGGTCAGGGACTCGAACTGCAGTTGGCCATGTGGGAACCTAGCACCTTTCACTATCATGCCGCCTGCCAGCCTCCCTAGCATGTTTCTTTTTTTTGGGGGGGGGGCACGTGCACTCGCCAGACAGAGAGAGAGAGACAGAGAGACAGAGAGACAGAGAGATAGAAAGCCAGAAATCACCTCCCAGGGGGGATGGCCACGCCACAATCCCTTCTCCATTCTCCTCTAGGGATCCTGGGCATGCACGCACATGCGCCTGGCGTGAGTTTAAGCCACTGGGTCCACCTTGAACCGCAGTCGACTAAGTGGGAGTCCAACAACATAGCCATTACGCTAACTGCTGGTTCCCCTAGCATGTTTCTTAAGCTACTGGGTTTGGCACTTGAATCACACAGCCAGTCACATGGGATCCAGCTGCATTAATCTCTGTGGCACTGGTTGACCTGTCTGTGTTTTCTTTTTTTTTTTTTTTTTTTTTTTTTTTTTTTGGGGGGGTGTTCGCCTTTTTTGTTATAGGGTGCGTGTGTTCGCCAGACAGAGAGAGACAGAGAGACAGAAAGCGAAAAATCACCCCCCAGGGGGATTGGCCCCACCATAATCCCTTCTCCTCCATTCTCCTCTTGGGATCTTGGGCACGCACGCACATGTGCTTGGCATGAGTTTAAGACACTGGGTCCAGGACTCGAACCGTGGTCGGTTACATGGGAGTCCAGTGACATAGCCATTACGCTAACTGCTGGTCCTGCGTCTGTGTTTTCTTAACATTGTCTCCTCTAGCGTGCTCCTGAATTCCTCATTGTCTTCTTCCTAATACAAGTGTTTGTAATATGTGGTTTAGAGTAGGTCATGGCCATGTCCCAATCAAAGAGAGCATCTCAGAAGACTTCTCTCACACTCAGGGTCTTACAAAAAGGGAGCAGATGTAACACAAGTTCAGTTTGAAACTCCGAAAAGACTTCTATAAAGCCAAAAGGGCCTCATTCAATAGTGTTCCCAAAGAGATGATTTTTAGGAGCCACAATAAATTTTTATAAAAGACAAAAGGGCCAGTAGGTGGCATGGTGCTTAAGATGGCTGGATCCCACATGGCCGACTCCGTGGTTTGAGACCTGGCAGCTTGAAATACATGCTGGGCATGTGTACATGTGTGCCCAAAGTCCCAAGAGGAGGATGGAGGAGAAGGGATTTTAGCATGGCCATCACCCCTGGGGAGTGGTTTTACGCCTACCCTGTCTCATGTGCACACACTCCCTGTAGCAGAAACTTTTTAAAAACAAATAGAAACTTTAATAATAGTTTGTTTTAATATGTATTAGAAAAAAATAATACTGGACCTAATTAAGAATAAGGACTCTGGAGCAAACTGACTCCCATTTAATTAGTTCTGTCAAGTTGAGAAGGTTATTTAGCCTCTGTCCCTTAGTTTATTCATCTATAAACAGAAATAAAAATAGATAAATAAAATTTAAAAGTTGAAAGAGATGGCATATTTTATTATGATAATTTTGTTACTTTATCTGACAGTTTTATGAATGATAATAGGATATTGCAAGATTTAATTTTGAACTTTTCAATGTTTATTTATTAAATTACATATATTCTGTTTTAGGTGAAATGAGCCAAAATGCAGTCATTACAAAGCAGGAGAAAAATAATGACTATTGCCTTCAGGATATTGATAAATTGTCAGAATCAACAGATGATGAGGGTGAAGACACCAACGATGAAGAAAATGATGACAGTAGCCCTATAAAGGGTACCCGTGCCCCATTAGAATTAATGGCAGAAGTAAGTTTTTCTTGTACATTATAACTTAAGAAACTTAAAAATACTAAAGTAACTAGTATATATCCTTGAAGATTAAAAAAACTTGGTAAAAAGATCCTTGTGTACATACAGATGCTTACCAAGCCACTCATCTCTGTCAATACTTTCTTTTTCTAAAAAAGACTTATTTATTTAATTTTATTTTTTATTATTATTTTTAATTCACCAGGGAAAGCAAACCACCAGGTTTGGGACTTGTACACAGCCATGTGGGAGTCCAGAACCTTAACCCAGTATGCCACCTTCTGGCCCCATCTTTGTTACTACTTTGATTAGGTTAGGGTGATAGAAGATTCTGGAATGATTATGGAATTGACATATAGTATTCTAATAAGACAGAAGCAAGACTAAGAAATGTGTTGGGTGGGGCTGGCAGGTGGTGAGATGGTTGAGGACTTGGACTCCCACATGGCCAATCATCATTCAAGTCCTAGACGTGGCAGCCTTCTTTCTCACTTTCCCTTTCTCCCTCTCTGGTTAAATTTAAAATTAATTAATTAAATTTAATTTAATAGGTAATTATTTTAAAAAGAAAGAAAGAAGGAAATGGGTTGGGTGAAAAAATAAATAAATAAACCAAAAACCCTGGACCTTAGAACCAGCAGGTGCCATGATGGTTAAGGCACTGGACGCTCACTCCCACATGGCCTACCACAGTTCAGGTCCTGGATCTGGTGACTTACTTTCTCACTCTCTCTCTCTCTTTGTCTCTCTCTGGTCAAATTAAAATAAATGAATGAATGAATAAATAAAATTAAATAAATCTTAAAAAGAAAAAAACGGGGCCAGCAGATACATTAAGGTGAACTCTATCCCATATGGCCAACTGCACAGTTTGAGTCCTGAGTCCAGCAGCTTGAAAAGCACAATGGGCAATATACTTCTGCTTCCGGCTGACCTCTCTTTTCCTGTGCAGATAGCACACCCAAAAGCATGGTGAATGTCCCTAAAACCCACTGGACTTTCTGTAAGAAGTGTGACAAGCACCAACCTCACAAAGTGACACAGTACAAAAAGGGCAAGGATTCTCTGTATGCTCAGGGGAAGCGGCATTATGACAGGAAGCAGAGTGGCTATGGAGAACAGACTAAGCCTGTTTTCCAGAAAAAGGCAAAGACTACAAAGAAGATTGGGCTGAGGCCCAACAGATCTAAGAGGATGCTGGCTATTAAGAGATATAAGCATTTTGAACTGGGAGGAGATAAGAAAAGAAAGAGTCAAGTGATCTAGTTCTAAGCTCCATCTTTTGTTTTATGATGATGACAAAATCTTGAGGTGAATGTTCACCTTATTTGATTACAGTTGGTCTTTTTGTGAAGGAGTAATCAATAAAATTCCTTTTTGGGGGAAATTTGATATATGGTTAGGAAAAAAAGAAGCTAAAACAAAACCCCTCAAACACACACAAACACACACACACACAAAGGGCACATGTGTGCACCCCCAAAATCCCAAGGAGAGGTGGAGAAGAAGGGATTGTGGCCTTTTCCCTCTTTCGTCTCTGTCTCCAATGAGTGCATGTGCCCTATAGCAAAAAGCAAAACAAAACAAACAAAAAACAAACCTCTTCAAGGATTGCTTTGAAGAATGTTTTCTTTCTTTTTTTTTTTTTTAAAAAAAAAGAATTATTTTATTTAACTTCATTTATTTCCTTATTTTCATTTGAGCAGAGAGGAACAGAGTGAGAGAGAGAGGGAAGGTGAGAAAGCAAGCTGCCAGGTCCAGGACTTAAACTGCAGTCGGCCATGTGGAAGTCCAGTGCCTTTAGCCACCACGCCACCTGCTGTCCCTCAGGATGTTTTCTACATACTGGGTACCATGCTGGTTGCTGGGCATACAGAGATAAATAAGAGAGATCTGTCTTTGTCCTTGAGAACAGGCAAATACAATAATTGCAATAAAATGAAATATATGCTAATAAATTATTTATAAAATATTAAATGACTACTTGAGAAAAGCAGCAGGAGGAATGGGGATAAGAGGACTTTTAGGGCCAGTTCCATGGCACAGTGGTAACAGAAACTGAGACCCACACGATGACTACTGTCCAAATCTCTACCCCAGTGAACCTGAAACACACTGGGTGAACATATGAGTGAGTGCCTGAGATCCAATGGACTGGAAGACTAGAGGAAGGGGACTGTGGACTGGAAGACTAGAGGAAGGGGACTGTGGTGTGACCTGACCTGAAGGGGGCATTCATCTCTTTCTCTCTTTCTCTCATGCTCACTGTGCACACATGTGCTCTATAAAGAATTTTTAACGACTTTTAGAGGAAGAGACATGAATGTATCTTAGAAACCTGAAGAGGGAGGTATAGGTGCTCATCTGGAAAACAAGTAAAGATGGCATTCATGGCATAGGACACAACTCATACAAAAAGCACTGAAGCCTGAAACATCACACTCAGAATTGTGCACATATACCGACTATCTATGGAGAAGAAAACAGTTTTATGAGAACCAGCGGTTAGCATAATGGTTATGTCACTGGATTCCCACGTAGTCGACCGCAGTTCGCGTCCCGGACCTGGTGGCTTAGAACTCACGCCACACGTGTGTGCGTGCGTGCCCAAGATCCCGAGAGGAGAATGGAGGAGAAGGGGTTGCGGCGTGACCATCCCCCCTGGGGGGTGATTTCTCGCTTTCTGTCTCTATGTCTCTCTCTGTCTGTCTGGCGAGTGCACGCACCCTATAGCGAAAACCTCTCAAAAAATTAAAAAATTAAAATTAAAAAAAGAAAACAGTTTTATCTCACTTGTGATATCACAGTCTACTTATATTAGTATTATATAATGTATCGCATAAGGGCTTTCTAACAGTATTCTCTTATTTTTTCTCCTTGTCCTTCGTATTATCATTGTCATACATTTTACTCCTATATGTGTTTTAAGACCTACGATATATTTGGGGTTTTGTTTGTTTGTTTTGTTTTGTTTTTCATTTTTCCTTTCCTTCCAGGTTTTTGCCATAGGGTATGTATGCTTACTGGAGAGAGACAGAGAGGGAGAGTAAGAGGGGAAAGTAAGAAATCAACCTCCCTTCTCTGAGGAATGGCCATGCCACAGTCCTTTCTCTCCTATTGTCCTCGGGATCCAGGGCATGCACACACACCCAATGTGATGTGATTTTCAAGCTACTGAGTCTGGTTCTCAAATAGCAGTTGGCCATGTGGGAATCTAGCGTCTCAACGACCATACCACCTGCTGGCCCCTTATTTTTACTTTACATATCCAAGTATCTTTTAAAGGTATTTTAAAATATCTATTTATTTTGGTTTTATTTATCTTATGTTTTTGCCATATGGCACATGCACTCCCTGGAGAGAGACAGAGATAGGAAAAGTGAGAAATCATCCCCCCTAGAGAGGATGTCCTTGCCACAATCCCTTATCCTCCATTTCCCTCTTGGGATTTTGGGCATGCATACACACATACCCACCGGGTCTGGGTGGCTTGAAACTTCCATGTGGAAGTCTAGCACCTCAACCACCATACCACCTGCTGGCTCCTTAAAATCCCTTCTAAAACATCCTTTTTGTTTACTCATATATGTACCATTTCTGGTGTTCATAGCTTTGTGTAGATCCAAATTTCTATCTGATATAATTTTCCTTTGACTTGAAAAACTTCTTTTAGTGTTTTGTTTGTTTGTGTTTTTGTGTTTTTGTGTTTTCTTTCTTCCTTCCTTCCTTTCTTTCTTTCTTTCTTTCTTTCTTTCTTTCTTTCTTTTTTTTTTCCAGAGAGCATGTGTACTCACTGGAGTGAAAGAGAGAGAGAAAGTGAGAAAACAACCTCCCCCCATTGGGAATGGTCACATCACAATCTGTTCTCCATTTCTCCATCCTGTTGGGATTTGGGATGTGCACATACATGCACCTGGCATGTTTCTCAGGCTGACAGGTCTAGGGCTCTAATCACGCAGTTGGTTCTGTGGAATCTAGCCTCCCTAATGACCCTGCCCCGGACTGGCCCCCTTTAGTATTTCTTTCTTATAATGTAATTCTACTCATGATGAATTCTCTCAGCGTTTTTTTTTTAATATGAAAACTTAATTTTACTTTCATTTTAAAGGACATTTAGCTAGAGATGTCTTTTTTTTTTTTTTTTTTTTGAGAGAGGGGTTTTTGCTATAGGGCGCATGTGCTTGCCAAAGAGTCAGAGAGACAGAAAGCCAGAAATCACCTCCCCCACCCCCAAAGTGGATGGCCACAGTGCAATCCATTCTCTTCCAGTCTCCTCATACACACATACCCAGCATGAGTTTAAGCCACTGGGTCTGGGATTTGAACTGCAGTTGACTACATGGGAGTCCAGCAACATAGCCGTTATGCCATCTGCTGGCCCCGAGGTTTCTCTCTTTTTTTTTTTAACTGTTTGTTTAAGGTTTTTGTCATAGGGTGTGTGAGCTCTCTGGAGAAAGATGGTGAGAGAGAACGTGAGAAATCAACCTCCTGGGTGATGGCCATGCCACAATCCCTTCTCCTCCATTCTCCTCCTGGGATCTTGGGTATGCATACACATGTACCCGGCATGAGTTTCAAGCCACTGGGTCCAGGACTAAAACAGCCATTGGGAATGTGAGAGTCTAGCACCTCAACCACTATACCACCTGCTGGGACCTAGCTAGAGGATTCTAGATTGAAAAGCAAAACTTCAGTGCTTTGAAAGGTTGCTCCATTGTCTTAAAGCTTGCATAGTTTTAAACAAATACCTGCTGTTATTCTTTATTCTTGTGTATAGTACATGTCTTCTAATATTTTCCTCTATATTATTATTTGGCAATTTGATTTATGATGTACCTAGGTATGATTTTCTTCATGTTTCTTCTGTTCGTTGAAACTCTTGGACCTAAAAATTTATAGTCATTATTAAGTTTGGAAAATGTTTAGTCACTCTGAATATTTTTTCTGACCTCTCTTCATCTGAACTACAATTACAATTACACATATGCTAGACCATCCATTGTTGTCCCAAATGTTCCTTTTTTCAATTTTTTCCCTATATTTCTATTGCTATGTCGTCGTCTTCTCTTTTTTTGAGAGTTTTTTCTTTCTTTTTTTTCTCTCTCTTTTTTTTTTTTTTTTTGCTATAGGGCGCATGCACTCGCCCAAAGACAGAGAGAGACAGATATCACCCCCAGGGGGGGATGACCACACCGCAATCCCTTCTCCTCCCTCTGTTGCTACGTCTTCAAGTTCATGATCTTGTCTTTGCAGTTAGAATCTTCCATTAAGGACCAGCAGCTGGTGTAATGGCTATGGTGCTAGACTCCCATGTAGTCAACTGCAATTTGAGTCCTAGACCCGGTGGCTTAAAATCACACTGGGCACGTGTGCGTGTCTGCCCAAGATTCCAAGAAGAGAAAGGAGGAGAAGGGATTGCAGTATGGCCATCCCCCCCTGGGGGGTGATTTCTCTCTCTCTTTCTCTGTCTTTCTGGCGAGCACACGTGCCCTATACCAAAAACCTCTCCAAAAACAAAAGAGAAGAATCTATTAGTCTCATCCTATATTACTTTTCATACTTCCAATACTGTATTTCAATGTCATCTCTAACAGTTCTGTTTAGATATTTTTCATATCTATATTTCTTTGATTATCATGTTCATACTTATCTCTGCTTTTGAGTGTATGGGTATATATTCATAATAGCCATTAAAACTTTTGTTTGGGTATAAAGTTTTGTTGTTTTCTCTTAAATACTGTTGTCAACTTTGATCTGAGACACAATTACTTGGAAGTAGGCTTTTCTTTTTGACCCTTATTTGTAAGCTTTGTTAGAGAAAGTCCAGGACAGTCTTTATAGTGTAGGAACACTGCTGAGCAATACTTTTTTAAGGATTCTTCGCAATGTTCTATGCATTAAGAGGCCCTCTCTGGCTGATAAGAACATGAGCTTGTCTTAATCCTTTATGAGGTCTATTTTATTCCATATGTTCATTTTCGTGATTCTTTCTCCAGCCTCAAATAGTCTCTTCAATGTCAGCCATATTGGATCCAAGTCAGTACCAGGTAAAGATTCAGAGTCACCTCTGCAGATTGCTGGAGCTTTGTGTCTTTGTGAAGCTCCCTCCTTTGCTGAAAATTATAGCCACTTTGGCCTTTCTGAGATCCAGACTACGTTGTTTCAATTCAGAGAGATTGCTGATCTTTGGATTCTTCTTCTGGTGCTTGGAAACAACCTACAATCAATCAATAAGGCAGTCAAGGAATCTAGTTTATTTCTCTCATTCTCAGACACATTTCATTGTCCTGTGCTGGCTATTGCCCAATGTCTAAAATCTGTTGTTTCATATATTTTGTCTAGGTTTATGGTTGTTCAAGGAAGGAGAGTAAATACAGTCTCTGTTACTTCATCATAACTAGAGGCCCAATCATTTTTAGCGCAAAGAAAAAGGCTTAAGTGCTTTCTTTCTTACATAAGTTAACCCAAATGCTAGCCATGGAATCATATGAGGAAGTCGGGCAAATTTACTGTTTTTCTACTAGAGGAAAGCATATATGTAGGAGATTTTGAAGCTTCTCTAAGATTATAAGGTGATTTTAGATAGGAGAACAAAAATTGATGGCAAGTGTTGGAAACATTTCACTTAACCAGTCTTCCTCTCAGCCAGATACCCGAAGGCAGTCGTAAATTAGAGTGCTCAAAACCCCTATCCACCATAACTAAACTTTCTAGAGTTGGCTCACTTTATTTCTTTTCTTTTCTTTCATCAACATTTAATTGTAAAAGTAATCCATTAACTCATTTTCATGTAAAAATTCAGAAAGTTTAAGATTGCTTATTTTTATGTCTCATGCTATACCTGAGCATATTTTATTGTTTTGTTTTCAGAATACATACCTTTTTAACTTTCCCATCTTTTAAACAATTTAAACCTTCAAAAAAATTTGAAAGATTATAACAATGAACATCTGCATCCTATTTACCTAGATTCACTACTTGTTAACATTGTACTACATTTGATTCATCTCTTCCGGTACATGAGGCATAGCTATAGCATAGATAAAATTTTTTTTTTGGCTGAAATATTTGTAAGTAAGACAGACACCATAAAACTTCACCTTTAAATACTAGGCCATCTTGGGATCAGCAGATGGCATAATGGTTAGGTCACTGGACTTCCATGTAGTCCACTGTGGCTTGAGTCCTGGACCAGCTGCTTAAAACTCACACCGGCTGCGTATGCATGTGTGCCCAAAATCCCAGGAGGAGATTGGAGGAGAAGGGATTGCGGCATGGCCACCCCCCTGGGGGCGATCTCTTGCTTTTTGTCTCTCTGTCTTTCTCTCTCTGGCAAGTGCACGCACCTAGTGGCAAAAAATCTCTCTCAAAAAAAAAAAAAAAGAAAGAAAGAAAAGGAAAAAAAAAAAGAACATGGGTCTCCTAAGAATAAATTTATTCTTCAATGTGACACCATACCCTTATCACAGCTAAGAAATTAACAGTAATTTTGTAATATTTAATAATCCACCAAAATTCAGATTTCTAATTATTTTTTACTTTTTTAGGTTTTTTGTCATAGGATGCATGTGCTCACTGGAGAAAAACAGAGAAAGGGAATATAATAAGTTACCCTTTGGGGGAGTGGCCATGCCACAGCCCCTTTTCCTCCATTCACTTCTTGGGATTTTGGGCATGCACACACATGTACCCAGAGTTATTTTTCAACCCACTGGGTCCAGAACTCGAACTGCATTTGGCCACATGGGAGTCCAATGCCTTAACCGTGATGGCACCTGCTGGCCCCCACCAGTTTATCTTTGTAGTGATCTTTTTGGTTGGAATTTTTTTCTAGTCAGCATTCATGCATAAAATGTATAGTTAAGGATCTATTTTGAATATCACAAATACTTTAGTGTAGCACCATTTTTTAAAAACTGTATTCAGCTTAATTTGCAATATTTTTCCAACAAAGTACTATCATGTAATAAAGGACTAAGTTCACAAATGGAACCTGTATCTGAACCAAAGGAATATTAAAGTGATTAAGTCTTTTCTCTCTGTGCCAGTCAAAGCAACCTACATATTCTCAAAGTGTTCAGCAGAACAATCACAGGGTAACCGCAGCAAAGCAGATATACCATACTTAGTCTATGTCATCTTGCCTTAAGAGGTCCTTAAATATCCTTGATTAATCAGTTGATTATATACTTATTCCTTGGAAAATGTGTCTAAATGTTAAACACAAAATAACTAATCATTAATGGAAAATTTTCTAGAGAGTTTGTAAATAACATTTAAATTTTCCCTGAAACTACTTAGCTGAAGAATTTCATATTTTCCAGTTCCTGAGAGCGGAAATGGGCCGAGACTACCATTTGGCAAAAAAATTATGTCAGATGAGTAAGTACAAAATGCGTTCACATTTTCTAATCTTTTTTTTCTTTGCTTGTTTCTAAAAATAAATTCCATAGTATGTAAGGTGGTTTGGTTATAAGTCTAGTGAATTCTCTAAGAGTATTTCAGTGATCTCTTGTATCAGAGATAGTAAATTAGGTTAACTGGTATAAAGACATATTTAGACTTCTAGAGTACCTTTTAGTGGAATAAATTAATATAGACTAACGTAGACTACCTTCACTGGCATATAAGTCAGAACCTTGACCCTCATGATAATGGGTTAGTAAATGTATGCCTTCAGTTTTAAATAAATGTTAAGTTGTGCAGGAGGAAAACCTTACTTAATGTGCAGTTATTCTGTAAATATTTGAGTGTGTCTCTGTGCCAGGCACTGTTCTGGGTCCTGGAAATACACAGTCAGCAAAACAGATAACAATCCCACAGAGTAATGGACAGATAAACCAATACATACTGTGTTGTAAGTAATAGGTACTATGGAGAAAAGTAGGGAAGAGGGAATAGAATGTATGGAGAGAAGTCAAAATGGTTTTAGATAGAATGGTTCAGAAAGCCTCACTGAAAGCCACATGAAAAAAACTGAAGAAATGGAAGAAACTCAGCTAGCCCTATGAATGTCTGAGGAAGAACACACCAGGCAGGACAGTTGACGGAATGTACAGAGATGGAAGTGTGCCTGAGAGGAGGAGCAAGAACACAGTACAATGGGAGTAGAATGAGCAAGAAGCACAGTAGGAGATGAGGTCAAAGAGATGATGAGCAGAGAGCCGTGCAGATTGCCTGAGACCTTTTCTCAGTTTAAGGACCTTGATTTCCCCCTGAGTGAGGTAGGAAACCACTGCAAGCATTTGAGTAGAGAAATGGTATGATCTGCCTCCTCCTCTTCTTTCTTCTTCTTCTTCTTGTTATTATTTTGTATTGTAAATCTGCCTCATTTTTCTCTCTTCGTTTTTTTTTTTTTTGAGAAGTTTTTGCCATAGGGCACTTGCACTCGCTAGACAGACAGAGAGAGACAGAGAGACAGAAAGCGAGAAATCACCCCCCAGGGGGGATGGCCACATCACAATCCCTTCTCCTCCATTGTCCTCTTGGGATCTTGGGCACACACGCACACGCGCCCGGCGGGAGTTTTAAGCCACCGGGTCCGGGACTTGAACCACGGTCAACTACGTGGGAGTCCAGCGACATAGCCATTACACTAACTGCTGGTCCCTCTCTCTTTGTTTTTAATGGTTTGGCTTGATGTTCAAATGAATTTTCGTTTTCCTTGTATTTATACTGTTTGGGGAATTTGCTAATAGCTTAACTCTGTGGGTTGATGTTTTTAATCAGCTTTTAAAATGACTTAGCCATCGCTTTATTGATGTCCATGCTACAATCCCTTTTCTTCCATTCTCCTCTTGCGATGTTGGTCACACAAGCCCAGTGGGATTTTAAAGTTGCCTGGTCTGGGACTCAAACCATGATCAGCCATGTGGGAATCCAGTGCCTTAATCACCACATCACCTGCTGGCTCCAGAAGGTATCCAGTTTTTCTTTAAGATGTCTCAGGGCTAAATCCAATGCTTGTGCAGGTGTCCTATGCATCCAAACAAGCTCGTGGAGCTCTGACTGCAACATCTCAAAGCGTGTGTCATGTGTGCTCGGCTCCATCAGACCAACGTGACGGACCTTCCCCAAGGGCCAAATTTGGCGCCCTATTTCCGGGCAGATAGGTTTGAAATCTTGGCGCGCAGAAAATGATTCAACATCAAACTTTTTTTTTTCACCCCTGCTGGCTCACCCAATACTACTGTTCATGCTTTAAAAATAATAATAATAATAATAATAATAATAATAATAAATTTAATAATAGTGATAAAGTGAGAAAGCAAGCTGTCAGGTCCATTCTCACAGTGGTCAGCCCTGTGAGAGTCCAAAGCCTTAACCACCACGCCACCTGCTGGCACTCTTTTCTGTCATCTGTCAAATAGTGGTTGCCTCTTAAACTAAGGATTAACCTACAGAAAAGGGATGATGGAAGGCCCTTGAGCAAGCACTATGGCCCAGGAAGCTAATTGGGAAAGAGCCCAGTGCCCAAAAGGAAGAAGAGGAAGATTGAAAAGGACAGGGGCCCTGAGACGAAGAATTTGAGGGTGCCCATGCAGAATCAGATTGGCTCCCGTGCTACAGATGCCCAGCCAAGGATGTGAAGGAGAGAGGCTTGTGCTTAGCAATGCCAAGCATGGTCAAGGAAGAATAGAGCTGGAGTCAGCCTTTGTCTTGGGGAAGGAAGTAAGGAGGTGCTAGCTCTTTCAACTATCACAGGAACACTTGGGTAAAGGCCACTCCAAATCCTTCTTTGTCTTTAGAGCAACAGATGAAATGAATTTTCTAGCATAAACCCCCCAAATATTTTATTTGTAAATGCTTATAGTATAGCTATTCTATTGTCTAACCTTTTTTCCATCTTGTAGCTCCTTTGTATAACACTTCTTCCCCTTTCACTATATATTTATAATTTTGTTTATAGATAATGTGTTTACATATTTATGTATGTATTTTTTAAATTTAACTTTATTTATTTATTTTAATTTGACCAGAGAGGGACAGAGCGAGAGAGAGTGAGAGAGCAAGCTGCCAGGTCCAGGACTTAAACCTCAGTCGGCCATGTGGGAGTCCAGTGCCCTTAACCACCATGCCACCTGCTGGCCCGTATTTATGTATGTACTGAGCACCTGTTATGGGAAGCATTATTGAATACATTAATTCTTTTTTTAAATTTTTAAGAATTATTTATTTTTCTTACTATTATTTAAAATTTTTCTATAGGGCATGTGGGCCTTCACTATAGCCAGAGACAAGAGAGAAGGAAAGTAAGAAAGCAAACTGCCACATTCAGGACTCAAACCATAGTCAGTCCTGGGGGAGTTCAGCACCTTAACCACCACACCACCTGCTGGCCCAAGTACATTAATTCTTAAAACAATTCTGTAAGAGGGACCAGCAGTTAACGTAATGGCTATGTCGCTGAACTCCCATGTAGCCGACTGTGGTTCAAGTCCCGGACCTGATGGCTTAAACTCACGCGAGGCACATGTGCGTGTGTGCCCAAGATCCCAAGAGGACAATGGAGGAGAAGGGATTACGGCATGGCCATCCCCCCTGGGGGGTGATTTCTCACTTTCTATCTCTCTGTCTTTCTCTTTCTGGCAAGCGCACGCATCCTGTAGCAAAAACCTCTATCCCTCCTCCCCCCAAAAATAATTCTGTGAGACAGATATCATTAATGCCACTTTATAGGTGAGGTAACCAAGGCCAAACAAGGAGAACTAATTCACACAAGATTACATAGCAACTAACTGGTAGAGTTAGGGTTACATACCAGCTATAACTTGGAAGTCTATGATTTTGGGGGCCAGCAGGTGGCATGGTGGTTGAGGCACTGGATTCCCTTGTGGCCGACCATGATCAAGTCCTGGACCTGGTGGCTTACTTTCTCACTTGCCCTTTTTCTCTCTGTCTTTCTCTGGTCAAATTTAAAAAATAATAATAAAAATAATAATGTTGATGAATAAAATTAAATAATTCTTTTTTTTTGGGGGGGAGAGGTTTTTTTGCTATAAGGTGCGTGCACTCGCCAGACAGAGAGAGAGAGACAGAGAGACAGAAGGTGAGAAATCACCCCCCAAGGGGGATGGTCACGCCGCAATCCCTTCTCCTCCATTCTCCTCTCGGGATCTTGGGCACACATGCACATGCGCCCAGCGTGAGTTTTAAGCCACTGAGTCTGGGACGTGAACCGCAGTCGACTACATGGGAGTCCAGTGACATAGCCATTACGCTAACTGCTGGTTCCCCTTAATTCTTAAAAAAATATATATATATGATTTTTTTACTATATTTTCATTTCCTCATTTAATCAATAAGCTGGTTTTCTTGGTAAAGGAGACCGAAACTTGTAAATACTTTCATGGATCAATCAAGCTAGAAATGATTTCTTTAATCAACTACTCTGTTTATTTATTTGTATCTAAGATAATTAATTTTTATAAAATAACATATCCTTGTCCTTTAGAAATGTTACACACATTTAAAAAAAATTTCCACCAGTGTTGTACAATACCAGCAAGAGACAGAAAGAGGGAGAGAGAAACTGAGAAAGCACCCCCCAGAAGGAATGACAATACCTCAATTTCTTCTCCATTTTTCTCCTCTCAGGATTTTGAGCACACACATACACATACATGACTGGTATGTTTTTCAGGCTGCCAGATCTGAGACTCAAACCACTTAGTCTGCCATTTGGGATCCAACCACCTTAAACACCATGCCACCAGTTGGCCCTATATACATTTTTTTTTTTTTTGAGAGATTTTCACTGTAGGGCGCGTGCGCTCGCCAGACAGACAGAGAGAGACATAGAGACAGAAAGCGAGAAATCACTCCCCAGGGGGGATGGTCACGCCGCAATCCCTTCTCCTCCATTCTCCTCTCGGGATCTTGGGCACGCACGCACATGCGCCCGGCGTGAGTTTTAAGCCACCGGGTCCGGGACACGAACCGCGGTCGACTACGTGGGAGTCCAGCGACATAGCCATTACGCTAACTGCTGGTTCCCAATATACATTTTCTTGAATAGTCACTGGTTCCTGGGGTGTTTGTTTTTACTGTCTAATTGAAGTATAGTCATTTCCATCTTCATCTGGCTATAGGGCTTTTCCCCTGGCATTCAGGTACCTGTGGGTTCATTTTCTCTTTGCTTTCTTTTAAAAAAAAATTGTATTGGGTTTCTCCAGGAAATTTTATCTGTTGGTGTAGGCTTGAATTTTCTCTCTTACACAGTTTTTATACAGTCCTAATATTTCCTCAGCCGTTTTCCTGCTGTCTCATGTAACACTGTTATTTCTGCTCCATGCCATTTCCTGCCAGTGGATGGGGACAGCCTGGAAAAGTAGTTTTTAAATGGGACTGAATGTCAAGGGTCCAAAGTATTTTTCTCCATTAATCTCTTGAGCAACTGAGATTTTGTGCCAGTCAATCTTCCTATTTCTTGATCACTTGACCTGTAAGTCAGAAACCTGCAGTTCAATCTTCTAAGGGGAAACACTTCACACTTCGGCTCCCAGGCAGGCCAAGATTGTGCACAAAAACACCGAGGCCTGTTTCATCAATTATAACCATCCTATGTGTTGAATAATAATGACTCGAAAACCAAAATTGTTCTCATCTTGTAAGTCTAACACAAATACAGATGAATCTTCAGTAAAGATGGTTCCTATAAAACTTTCTATTTCTTTTTGAGTAAAATAAAATCACCCTTTCCAGTTAGCTTACGGTATAATTTTTTCCTTTTTTTTTTTTTTGAGAGGTTTTTGCTATAGGGCATGTGCACTCACCAGAAAGACAGACAGAAAGTGAGAAATCACCCCCCCAGGGGGGATGGCCACACTGCAATCCCTTCTCCTCCATTCTCCTCACGGGATCTTGGGCACACATGTACAAATGCCCGACGTGAGTTTAAGCCACCAGGTCTGGGACTCGAACCGTGGTCGACTATGTGGGAGTCCAGTGACATAGTCATTATGCCAACTACTGGTCCCACTTACAGTATAATTTTATCTAGTAGTAAAAGGGCTGTTTTCTCATCTGTCTATATTGATTTACTCCACTTTTTAGTGTTTGGAGGCTCCGGTGTGCTAGGACTTCCTAGCGATGCAACAGTGACCAAGACAAGTGCTTTCTGCCCGAAAACAGTCTCCAGTCAGAGGAACAGAAAGTGGGATAGGCGGCAGAATTCCCTGCTCCCCCGCCCCAGTCCTTCAGCCAGAAGCAAGCATCTCCTGCATCTGTGGGAGGGAACTGAGCCATTCTCTGGGCCTAGAATCATTTTAGGAAAACTGATAACCAACATTTACTCAGCACTTACCATGTGCCAAGGACTAGACTAAGTTCTTTGTCTGTATTGGTTGATTCGCCAAAATAGCCCAATGTGATACATAGCAATGTAGTCAGGACACAGGTATAGAGATTTTTTAAATTTAATTTTTAATTAATTAATTTACACTCATTCACTGAGCATACAGAACATGATTTGTAACTGGGGGCTTAGAGACCATTATCCTATATATATACTATATATATATATATATATATACACACACACACACACACATATATCAATATATTTCCACTCCCCTTCTTACCCTCTGCCTTTTTCCACCCTCCTCCCACATTATCTCAGGTGTCCACAGAAATATGTTCCCCAAGCTAATCCAGTTAGAGAGTGACAGAACCAGAATCACATCTGGTAGTCTTTTTCCATAGCCCATATTGGGTGCTGCTTTGCTGCTCGAGTACAGGCTGGGAAACAGCCCCTGACACCCACTGAGTGTGCTAGAAACTGCCTTTTTCTCTTTCTGTCTTTAGGTTTTTGGTGTAGGGTGTGTGAGCTTACTGGAAAGAGAGACAGACAGAAGGAAGGAACAGAGAAATCACCCCTCAGAGGGGGGATGGCTATGCTGCAATCACTTCTCCTACATCTTTCTCTTAGGATTTTGAGCACGCATGCACACATGTTTGGCACGGTTTTCAAGCCACTGAGTCCTGGAACTTGATTCGGCACCCTAACCACCACACCACCTGCTGGCTCTGCTCTTAACTTTTTATGAATCTTTATTAGCCTGCCAAAGAATAAGAAAAACTTTCAAGTCTTCCCCAAGAATAGATATTATTGGGCTGCGTTTCAAAGCAGATACCTGTTCCCACTCTCTAAAAGCTGAAAATTGCCAGTGGCTTTTGTTTAACCATGGAAGTAGCTGATCCCATGCCAACTCCCTGGGATAATCCTAATTCCAACAAATTTCCTAAACTGTGTTCCAAGGAATGTTAGTTCAAGATTTCTTTTTCTTTTCTTTTCTTTTTTTTTGAAGAGGTTTTGCTATAGGGCACATACACTTGCCAGAAAGACAGAGACAGAGACAGACAGAAAGCGAGAAATCACCTCCTGGGGGGATGGCCACGCCGTAATCCCTTCTTCTCCTTTCTCCTCTTGGGATCTTGGGCATGCATGCACATGCGCCCAGCGTGAGTTTAAGCCACCGAGTCTGGGACTTAAACTGCGGTGGACTACATGGGAGTCCAGCAACACAGTCATTATGCCAATTGCTGGTCCCAAGTTCAAGATTTCTTAATAAGTGATCCACCAAAAATTATTCTATTGTCAAATAAATTTGGAAAATCAAATTTCCTCTCTGTAAGGTTTCTAATGTTTATAAGTATATTAATATTTCTGTAAAGTCCTGTGACTACTGCTTATTGTAAGTTTTATCGCATTAACTTCATTTAACCTAGTTTCCCAAACATGTATTAAGAAACTAGTATCCAAAGAAGGAAGTTGAAGAAATCATGCTTTAGAAAGGCGTAGGCTCAGAGGAAGAATAAGACTACTGATAATAAGCATATTTTAGTCCAAGTTAAAACATATAAAAATACCTTTATTAGAAAACTTACATAATGTATATAATGTGTATATAATGTTACATAAATAGCTACAGGATCCATAAAAGCAGCTTTTGAGCAGTCACACAGACATGCTAACCCAGATTGGCTGAGGAAATAAAGTCGCACGTTTGGTGTGTGTGTGACCCCCTGGGTGGGGTCCTATGAACCGAGGGGGTCTGCTTGAACCATCCACAATTATCTCTTATTCTTAGCTCAGTGAATAGCACACTTGATGTTTCAGTGCCCCCTGGGGGCCACCAAGATATCGCATTTGAGTCACAATACTTAAAAATAAGATGCAAAATTATGAATATTCCTCAAGGCAGGTGGGAAGAAGGTAAGAGAGGTCTGTAGAGCAAGATGTATATTAAAAAAAAAAAAAAGAGTAGTCTAGAACTCTGAAACAAAAGAGGTAAATCTTTCTGGCCTCTAAGACATTGTAACATACCAACAAGCCTAAGAAAGTCTATTTGTGTGATCCAAAGGAAAGATGACACAGTCACATAAAAGATCAACAAAAGGAATAAGTAATGCTAAAGACAATGGGTCTGATGAAGAGGGGAGAATAGTTAAGCAGGCAGTGACTGTGGTGTAGACAAAGGTAAAAGCTGTCAGAGTGAAGAAAAGTAAAATCAGTTTCGTCTTATTTGAAAGATGTAAAAAATAGCATCTCTGCCATAGAAGATTTGTGTCTTAGTCTGCTGTAGTGTTGCTAACAAATACCTAAGACGAGGTGATTTATAAAGAATAGAAGTTTATTTAGCTTGTAATTCTGGTGGCTGGAATATCTAAAGGTGTGGGGCTGGCGTGAGGCCAGCAATGTCACAGCATGGCTGATCAAACCAAAAGAATAGTGAAAAGAACAGAGGGAGAGAGCTCTGGAGGCAGTCAGCTTCCTTATGTAACACCCTGCTGATATGAGAACTAAACCCTGCTCATAAGAGCTACCAATCTTTTTATTTTTTTTGGGGGGGGTGAAGGGGGAAGGAGGTTGGGGTTTATCTTTGTTGTAGGATGCATGCACTTGCCAAAGAGACAGAGACAGAGAGAGAAAAAGTGAGAAATCACCCCCCAGAGAGGATGACCATGCTGCAGTCCCTTCTCCTCCAAATCCTCTTGGGATTTTGGGCACACATGCACATGCACCCAGAGTGAGTTTCAAGCCACTGGGTCTGGGACTTGTATCATGGTTGGTCATGTGGGAGTCCAGCACTTTAACCACTATGCAGCCTGCTGGCCCCCTAAAGCTATCAGTCTTGAGAGGCAGTTTTAATATTCCCTAGGGTGGTGCCTCCATGATCCAGTCACCACCCACTAGGCCTTACCTCTAAGATGTCTCACTGTTTCCCAACGCAATTACACTGGGAACCAAATACCAAAATATGAACCTTTAGGAATGAACCAAACTATAGCACATTGCATTAGAAAAACCTCTGTTGCTTTGTGTCCAGTGAGACCTTTAGAAAGGATGTTATATAGACATTAGGTGCATGAGATGAGATGAGATGAGGGATTAACAGACTTTTAGATACACAGTCTTCTCATTGGCAAAGTCCCCCTATTTTGCAAGAATTTGTACTTTCTTTGGGAGATGATTATATTTGTGAACACTTTGGCTACTGCTTATGAGGGAAGCCATATTGAAAGGATGAAGATTGAAAGATTTTTCTTGGAAGTAGAAAATATAATGAAGATCATTTCTCTTACAAAGCACTGAATGTAAGTGGAGCATTTTTTCTATTTGCACTTAGACATGTGTGTGGTATAATTGTTGGTGATTATTGCTTCCTGCAGTTTCACCTGCTCTGATTGACAGTTTCAATCTCGTTCTAGGGAGCCTGTTTGCTGAAACGCTTTGAACATTAATAACACACATTCTGTTGTCCATTTTCAGTCCTACTCTATGAACCAGAAAATCCTGAGGCCAAGGAGTTTTTCTCACTTATTGAAGAAATGTTGCTGATGGGTAATTTTCAAAATTGAAATTCCTCCTTCTCCATAGAACTATGAGCAATCACTCCTTAAAATTCTATTATCCCAGAAGATTGTTGAAATTTCATCTTTAGGTAGTGGTTAGGAAAAGGCTGAACGGCTGTGTTGAATGGTTTAGTGAAACCAGCTTGTCCTCTGTGGATGTTCAAGATGATCCCCTTCTCTCTGAGGGGCGAAAGTGCCCAAGCACAGCAGGTCCCTGGGCACCAAGCATCAGGCTCTTACAAGCAGGTTAAGGGAGTTATCCCAGAGTTCCAAGGAAAACCTGTAAATTACCCTAAGTCTCACTTCCTCTTATTCTACACGAATTTCATTGACAATAGTAAATTATGTGTATAGATCTGTTTTTTAAAATGACTTTAAATGCATAACCACCTTTGTACCAGTAAGAATATATTTCTTTTTGTATTACTACTCTGATCCCACATACAGTTGGCAAAGGTCAGCTCAGTTCTTAAAAAGTACATATTTCTCAGTAGAGGGAAGGGGCAAAGAGAATTGGGATTTTTCAAACAGTAGAAACAAATATTAAGAAACATTTTCAGCAATTCTTCTCCTTTCTGTGGCAGAGAAAGCACAGAATCTTGAGGAAGCGGATGAAGACAGTGAAGATGACAGTAGCGATGAGAGCGAAGGGGAAAGCAGCGAGGATCCGAGTGAGGAGAGCTCTGATGAGTGTGAGGATGGGTCATAGATGTTGCTGTTGTGGTTTAAGCTTTGTGTATTTTTCTTAATGTGTACTTTACAAATATAAAGAAGAGACCTGCACGGTAGTCCAGTTGTTCTTTACTCCATAGAGTTCTTTTATTCATATTTTTTGTGCTCCATCCTATTGTAATATTTAGGCCTTAGTTCACTGTGAATTACTCAGAAAAGAAAATAGTCACTGAAAACATGCACTAACGATGTGCCAGATGCTGCTCAATCTGCTCTACATACATCTTCTAACCCAACAAGCACATACAGGCACTATTATTATTATTATTGGCGCTACTACTACTATTATTATAGGTACTACTATTGTTTTCCTTCTGCAGATGAGGAAACTCAGGTACAGAGAGGGCAAGAAGATTGCCTAGCATCATATCCTTATTGATTTGTAGAGTCTGGATTTATACAAGTGCATTATGGCTGCAGAATCTGTGGTCCCCGTGAATGCCCACCATTTTAGGCACTTTCATATAATTTCTTTACACTCTTTTTAACACATACCAGTATCTGAATTTCTTATTTAATTTTGTATTCCTTTCTTATTTTGGAAGAATTATTTCATTTATCATTATCATTATTATTATTAGACCAGAGAGAGAGGGAAAGTGAAACAGCAAATGCCAGGTCTAGGACTCAAACTGCAGTCAGCCACGTGGGAATCCAGTGCCTCAGCCATACCACCTGCCAGCTGATAACATTTTTTATTCCTGAAGAGTGCATGCAGAGAGAGACAGAGACAAAAGGAGGGAGAGAAAGCACTCCCCAGTAAGACGTGGTCATACTGTAACTCCCTCTCTATTTCTCCATTCCAAATACACACAAACTTTTAGGAGCAGGATTTGAACTGGTCATATGGGATCTAGCTCCCTTAACCACTATGTTATGGGGTGGCCTGCTAATTTAATTATTTTGTTCTTTATATTTTTTCCCTACCTGCCAAAGAACGTAACCTCCATGAAGTTGAAGTAGAACTTTGTCATTTCATCCTTATATCCCTAGCAACTGGTCAAGTGGTAGATAATAAAATACCAAATAAATGAACAAAATTCATGTGGAGATTTGGTTGTACTGTAAAAGTGTTAAGTGAAAACTTAATCCCTCTATAGGGATTAAGAATGAAAATGTTGGGACCAGCAGTCGGCATAATGGCCATGTCACTGGACTCCCATGTAGTTGACCGCAGTTTTGAGTCCTGGACCCGGTGGTTTAAGCTTACGCCAGGCATGTGTGCATACATGCCTAAGATCCCAAGAGGAGAATGGAGGAGAAGGGATTGCGGCATGGCCATCCCCCCTGGGGGGTGATTTTTCACGTTCTGCCTCTGTGTCTCTCTCTGTCTTCTGGTGAGCATACGTGCCCTATAACAAAAACTTCTTAAAAAAAAAAAAAGAATGAGAATGTTATTTTTTAATTAACAATTTATTATCTCATGAGACATACACTTCCTGTGTATTAATCTACATTATTTTGCTGATTCTGTATTTTTTTAAGAGAGATTTTTGCTATAGGGTATGTGTGCTCGCTGGAGAGACAGAGAAAGACAGAGAAACAGAAGAAAGAAGTCACCCCCCACCCCCTGGGAGGATGGCCACACCACAATCCCTCTTCTCCACTCTCCTCTTGGGATTTTGGGCATACATGCACACACACCCAACATGAGTTTTAAGGTGGCAGGGTCCAGGACTCTAACTGCGGTCAACTACACAGGAGTCCAGTTATGTAACCATTATGCCATCTGCTGGTCCCTAATTCTGTATTTTTTAAAAATTCTGTATTCTTGGATGAATTTCTGAGGTAAAAATAAGAAAAAATTCCTAATTAATTTGCTTATTATGATTACAATTTTTTTTTCAGAGTGTTTTGCCATAGGGCCTATGCGCTTGCTAGAAAGAGAGAGACAGAGATGACATGAGAGAAAGTACCACCCCCCCAGGGGCCATGGCCACACCACAGTTCCTTCTCTTCTATTCTTCTGGGATCTTGGGCATGCACGCTCATGTGCCCGGCATGATTTTCAAGCCATCCTGTCTGGGACTCAAACACGATTGGCCATGTGGGAGTTCAGTGACATAACCTCTATGCCATCTACTGGCCCCATGATTGCCAATTTGATTTGAAGGTAAACATTTTGAATTTTTATTTTTATGTTAATACTATGTCATTGCATATCTGAAATGCTTGCACCATAATTTATTCTTTTCTTTTTTTTTTTTTTGGAGAGATTTTCGCTATAGGGCACGTGCGCTCACCAGACAGACAGACAGAGAGAGACATAGAGACAGAAAGCGAGAAATCACCCCCCAGGGGGGATGGTCACACCGCAATCCCTGCTCCTCCATTCTCCTCTCGGGATCTTGGGCACGCACGCACATGCGCCCGGCGTGAGTTTTAAGCCACCGGGTCCGGGACGCGAACCGTGGTCGACTACGTGGGAGTCCAGCGACATAGCCATTATGCTAACTGCTGGTTCCCAAATTAACTCTTAAGTTCACATTCCTGGGAACAGGCAGATTGAAATCCAGGTCCCTTTAATACCCTGCCCTTCACACTGTGCTTTCCTCCCTAAAAGGCCAGTAGAGGAATGTATGGGGGGGGGGGGAGATAAATTATAAAGCATTTATCTAATGCCTTCCCTTAGAAAATGCATGTAATATAACCTTACCATGGGGTGGTGGTTTCCATGGACTGCTGCCCAGTAGTCTAGGTCTGGAGTCAGAGAGGCTGCTCCTTCATCCTTCAGACTGGTCCTTTTAGGGCCTTTGATGACTCTACCTGTCCTTATAGCAAGGTGATAAGTTGCATTGACTTTAATTAAAATGTGGTTTTCTCCCTGTAACATTACCTTGGTTGACATGCAAGATATATGTAACTTTATTATGTGACTGAAACATTGGTGTTTTTAAAGGGAGAGGACTTGAACAGAACTTGGTGTGCCAGATGCGAAGTAAAGTCTGTCTCCACTGGAAACATTATAGGCAGGTTACCTGTATTACGAAGCATTAAGAGTTCACAAGAAGTGGGAGAGGTAAGGTCTCCAAAGCCTTCTGAGCAGCGTAAAAGTCTCTGTGGTTGGCTCGCCTAATAACTCCCCAGGGGCCATGGGGTGTGAGTTATAGTGGGGTAGCGGGGAGGGTGCCACACTTGGAGAGGCTTGGGAAGTGAGGCACTGGGAGATGAGACTGGCTGGCACAGCCTCCTTCAAAATGTACCGTTTGAACCAGGAGTCAGCCTATAACACATTTTGTGGTTGATTTCCCTCTATCATTTAGATAATCACGTAATCTTATCTCTATCACCGGACATGGGCCGAATTAAGCTGATTTCTGGCGAAAACATGAGCAACTGTTGGATGTAGACAAAAAAAGAATGTAGTGTTCATGGCTACTGGCAGGCATATAAAACCCCGGGTGGGCTTTATGCCGAAGCAGAGCTAGGGACAGCAGCGCAGAGAAAAAAGAACTCTGTCCTTGACAGCGTTTCTGTGGCTCGGTCAACCAGTTCTGGTTTAGTGCCTGTCCTAGCTATGAACATCTTATATAAGCGAACACGCATGTACCACTTAAAAAATATTTATTTGTTTAATTTCATTTGTTGTTATTACTATTTTTAAGAATTTTTCCAGAGAGAGACAGAGACAGAGAGACAAGGAAAGTGAGAAAGCAAGCCACCAGGTCTAGGACTTGAACTGTAGTCAGCCATGTGGGAATCTAGCACCTTAACTGCCACGCCACCTGCTGGCCCCCATGATGCACGATTTTAACCATTCTTTGGTGTACAGTTCAGTGGTATTCAGGGCCTTCACACTGTTGTGCAACCATCTCCATCTTCCATCCGGAGAAATTGTTTTTTTAGATCTAGCAGCTATAGGGCGTGTACGCTCGCCAGACAGACAGAGAGAGACAGAGAGATAGAAAGCGAGAAATCACCCTGAGGGGGGATGGCCACGCCACAATCCCTTCTCCTCCATTCTCCTCTCAGGATCTTGAGCACATACGCACACGCGCCCGGTGTAAGTTTAAGCCACCGGGTCCAGGGCTCGAACCATGGTCAACTACGTGGGAGTCCAGCGACATAGCCATTATGCTAACTGCTGGTCCCCAGAGAAATTTTTGATCTTCTCACTTAAAATTCCGTACTCATTAAACAATAACTCCTTCATTCCCCCTTCCCAGCAGCCTCTGTTCTACTTTCCATCTCTGTGAAGCTGACTGCTCCAGACACTGCATGTAAGTGGACCATACAGTCTGTCCTTTCATGACTGGCTTGTTTCATTGAACATAATGTCCTCATCATGGTGCATTCAGGTCAAATATCAATACTTCATTCTTTATTATTACTACTGAGTTGTCAGAAAAGTCATGATGTGTCTTTGCATAGAAAAACAACAATATTTTGTGACTTTTCCGACAACACAATGAATAGGCCATCATATGTAATACATTTTGTTTTCCATTCATCTATTGATGAACACTTGGGTCACCTCTACATTTAGGCTGGGAATAATGCTGCTAAGAACTTGAGTATACATATACCTGTTTTTGATCCTAAAAAAAAATGTTGAGACCAGCAGTTGGCATAATGGCTGTGTCACTGGACTCCCCTGTAGTCGACTGTGGTTCAAGTCCCAGACCCAGTGACTTAAACTCACACTGGACATGTATGTATGCATGCTCAAGATCCCAGAGGAGGGAACCAGCAGTTAGCGTAATGGCTATGTCGCTGGACTCCCATGTAGTCGACCGCGGTTCATGTCCCAGATCTGGTGGCTTAAAACTCACGCCGGGCGCGTGTGCGTGCGTGCCCAAGATCCCGAGAGGAGAATGGAGGAGAAGGGATTGCGGCGTGACCATCCCCCCTGGGGGGTGATTTCTCGCTTTCTGTCTCTATGTCTCTCTGTCTGTCTGGCGAGCGCACGCGCCCTACAGTGAAAATCTCTCAAAAAAAAAAAAAAAAGATCCCAGAGGAGAATAGAGGAGAAGGGATTATGGTGTTGCCATCCTCCCTGGGGGGTGATTTCTCGCTTTCTGTGTCTCTGTCTCTCTGTCTTTCTGGTGAACGCACA